ACATACACCTTCTCTAATCCCGAGCACATGAAATTCATGAGCCACTGAATTATTTTATAATGCACATGGGACTCAAGTGCAGTCTGCTCTTCTTCCAGTCCGCACCCTGATTTCTGTGCTTAAGTTCTTATGGCCAAAAAGAGAAATTTTTTTTTTTTTTCTGGACTGGGAGACACAGAGCAGCCTATGCCTCTTTTAGTTTCTGGTGATCACAAAGATGTCTCCAGAGCCAAACTCCTTTTGACACACCGATTATTTACCTCTATTTTGGGAAGGTTAAGTAAGTGAGAAGTCCTTTCTGAGTGGATGGTGGCCTATGCTCTGGATATAGTGAGGGAAGGCTCAGAGACCTTAGAGGCAGGGCTGGCATGAGTGGCTGGGCAGATTGTGCAGTCTCCAATGCCAAGTGGTGGCATTGCATGGAGGAGTGAAAACTTGGCATTCCCCTTGGCCCAGATCGCTGCATGTAGGGCTGGCCACTCTTGAGAGGAGAAGACATAGGATGTGCTCGTGGGGTTCCCAGGGCCCAGAAAGCCCTGTCTGCCTCCTACATGCCTTTACTGTCCTGCTCCAAAGGGCCCGAAATGTCCAATGGCGTTTCTTGGGTTCTCAGCTTTATTTCTAGAAAGCCCTTACTAAAACAGAGTGCCACTTGGAAGATAGAAGAAACATTTAACCATACTGGCACCAACTGTTTTAATCCCGCTGCTCTGAGGTTGGCACACAACCCAATTTTTTTGATGGGAGCAGAGGAGGTCAGGTTCCTTTGTGGGTCACTTTGGTGGAGGGAGCCAGGGAGATTAGGCAAACGTTTCTTGGTGGGAAGGAGGGGATGGAGATGAAGTGGGAGAGGGCCTAGAGACAAACTGGACCTGCGTCATGATCCTGGAGGCTACCCTCCAGCACAACATTTGCTATGATTCTATAGCCCCTCCCATCCTCCTTTTCTTTGTTGAATGTCTAGTGACTTGTCCCTTCGGTCACCAGCCTGAACTGCAGCAATGCCCCACGTGACAAGGCCTCGGAGCACAAGTGGGCCTAGGGAGAGACTTCATGTCTGACTCTGTAGCTAAATCAGCAGAGGGGGCAGGGGGAGGTGATCCCCCCACCTCTGATTCTGAGACCCCTGGACTTTATAGTCCTCTGCCAGGAACAAATAATTAGAATAATTGAGACTTAGCTCATTCAACTTCAGCCTCAACACAAAGCTTTCACTTAACGCAGTCATTTCTAGCAACCATGGGAGCTTCTTTGAGTTTGTTTCTTTTGATTTATTTATTTGAGAGAGAGCGCACACACACAAGTGCAAGTGGGGGGAGGGACAAAGGGAGAGAATTTTAAGCAAACACCCTGTTGAACTCAGAGCCTGATGAGGGGGGCTCCATCTCACCACCCTGAGATCATGCCCCGGGCTGCAACTCAGAGTTGGACACTCAGTCGACTGAGCCACCCAGGCACCCTCTCTGAGTTTCTTTATCAATTTGTTAGGAAGGACTGGAGATGATTCTCTAATGTCACCAAAGAGGTTGTGGGGCTATTAAGCCTCAGTATTTGATTTCATTTTGGATTTTGCATAAAGTGCCCCAAATTTCATTCTTAGAGTAATTTATGTTAAAATGAAAATGTTCTCCAGCTTCTCTACTGCTTCTTGGTCCTTTAGTGCTAATTCATGTGGTTAGTGGTACTGATCAATTAATATACTCTATAGGCAATAACCACCTCCCGTGGAGAGGAGATGGGTAGAAAGAGGCTCTCAGGAAAGGAGGTGGGGGTGTGAGGGGAAGGGCAGGCAGATGGAGGAGTAGAGTATGTGCTCCCTCTGGAACTGTAAGTGGTTAGATGTGGCTGGTGGTGGTGGTAGTATGGTTATATGGTAGTGAGAGGGGGTAGGGGGCAAGACCACTCATGCATGCATGAATGAATGAATCATTGAGTTTAAAGGTACACAGTCCTTCCCTAGGGTGACTCTTCCCTCACCAAGTCAACTCTGTTTTTTTTCCCCCTCTGCACCTTCTTCACGAGCATGTTGAACTTGCAGTTAATATCCTCCTGCTCTGAGAAATCTCCCATCGCAGGCAGGAAAGGAGATAATTAGCTTCAATGCTCTCTCATATTTAAGCTGAGAAGTCAGCATGAATCCTAGCCATGGTTCATGTAGTAGGATAATCAGCACAGCTGTTCGTGATAGGTAACTCTCTTTTTTTCCTTCCTTCATATCTTTTTTGTTAAGGTACCATGACTGAAGATTAATGGCTTCCATTATATTTTTGCCTTCATGTGGGAATCTTTAAACTAGCCTGAACTTTGTACCAACTCTCCTATGAATCATGTCTGCTACAGTTACTCCTTTCTGTGTCATTTCTTAGGTTAGCGTCCTGGTGTGACAATCTGAAGGCAGGGCCAGGTTGAAAGGGTCAGGTGGTCACCAGGCAAAATACTGACAGTTGCAGCAACTGACATGGCCCCTTGAGTTGTTATCTCGCAGGTCTGAAGACAAAAATCTTATTTATAAATATTACCTGTAATGAGTTATGTGATGTTAGGAGATATATTTCAGCATATCTAGCTGTTGAGTAATCCACCCCACGTCGGCTGTTGTGTACATTTATTGTAATGAACCCTCACCGTGTAAGAGGCTTGGTTCTCAGTGTGCATTGTCTGTTGAATCTTCATCCCAGCCCCAGGAGGTAGTGACTGTGTGTGTGGTACCATTTTACATCTGAGGAAACCAAGATATACACCTCGGTTAGGTAACTTTCCCAGGGTCCCAGTTAAGGGTCAGGACTGGTATTTGACACCAAGCGGCCCGGCTCGGAGTCTGTGCTGTGATCTTCCATGTTAACAATACTCACATATAGCCTGAAACAAGGAGGTGATTTTAGTATCACATATTAGGAATATTTTCCTCTTACTAAATGTAAGCAATTGCCGTTCTTTTGGTATATGTCGTATCGTGTGGAGTTTGAGAAACTTTGACAAACAGTAAGACCATAGAAAAATTGACCCTTCTTTTGAGATATTGTTACCTAGAAGATGGATTTTGAGCATGTAGGTGTGCAAAGTTGTTGGCTTACGTTACTTTGAAGTGTAATATGTTTTTAGAATCTTGTCATGTATCTTATGTTTATGTGCCCATACATTCGTGTTCTGAGAAGATGAATTAAAAAAACCCCAAAATGTAGGCTCCAGGGCATCTGAGTGGCTCAGTGGTTGAGCATCTGCCTTTGGCTCCAGTTGTGATCCCGGGGTCCTGGGATCGAGTCCTGCATCAGGCTCCCCGTGGGGAACCTGCTTCTCCCTCTGCCTATGTCTCTGCCTCTCTCTCTGTCTCTCATGAATAAATAAATAAAATCTTAAAAAAAGATGGCCAAAAAAGATGTAGGCTCCATCCTGTCTTTTAAAACAACAACAAAAGCCACTAACCAAAAATTCCCATGTGCCAAGAGCAAATTTGAATTTGAGATCTATGTGCCCAGAAAAAGTGTTAATGTTGTCTGAACCAAGAACATGAACTTCATTCTGTGATAACCACAAACTTATGTTTCTAGTACCCCTGCCCTTTTATTTAAATGTAAATTATATTTTATTTTATTTTTAAATGCAAATTTTATTTTTGGCTTTGTTAAAGTGGGACAAGCCTTTTGCAGCCACTTTTCTAAGCAACCATTTCCCTTTGAGTTGACATCCCAAGATGCGGGCCCTAAAGCGTCAGCGTGTGAAGTATTGGCAGTTGCCTATCAGCAAACTGGTCCCAAGATCTCAGGTAGCTTGAGGTGGAGTCCAACACTGTGAAAAGAACAGAGCTTTTTTTATCCACATGACCTGGAGTGGGTTAATACCCTGTCACTCTGAACTGGTTTGATATACTAACACGGTGGATCTGAGTGTTTCTTAGAGTTAGCTCATGAGTGACTCCTTTGGCCACATAAACCATGGGGCCAGACAAATTAGCTTATGGAAGTAGAAATGGTTCTTGGCCCAGGTTGAGGGATGCTTCTCAGTCAACCATAGCTGTTCTGATATTAGAGATTTGCTGACAGTTCTCAGGTCAGAAAAAGGTTTACATTCCTGAGCTATTTTTTTCTTTTATCAGGATCATCTTAATTCTTGTCTCTGAGGCTGTGATCAAGGAAATGAGGAAGAACTGAATTCAGCTGTTTGGGTGACCCTTGTGTAACATGGACTTCTTAGTGCCTGATGTCCTAGCCACCACTAATTGGAGGTGATAACGGAAGATAGTGTCCCTAGCCAGAACCTACTGATAGGAACCCTGATGATTGAGAAGCATAGTTTGCATGCTTTGTTACAGCGTAAGGGTTTCTCTGCTATGTGATGTCTGCAGCTAGTAAGTATCTAAATCCCCCCAACGTTGCCAAGTAGAAGTGACGTGTTTTGGGCTACCACAGTTTATTAAAGGTTTGGGAGGGGATGGCAGTGCTGGTCTTGCAGAAAGCCTCATCATGAGTTTTTTTGGGGAGACGAATATTACCTATTAACAGATAAACACCTTGAAGTTGAGTCAAACAGAATGCTTAGTGTTTGTAAGGGGCAGGGAGCTGGGGGGTCAGTCAGTAACTTAGGAATCTGTTGACACAGAGAATGTACAGAAGCTGTGAAAGCCTCTAGCTCAGGGACTTGCTGGGTGTTTGTTGGCCACTGTGTTGGGTGGTGAAGGAGGTGTGTTCAAAGTTGCTGGAGGTGAAGTCTCCCTATGGATGAATACGTGTGAAATGACGTAGGGGCCTTAGTTTATTTGTATTCCTGGCCTTATCTGTTGACAAATGGAGATCTGGATGTGGGGTTTGGAGGGGATTTTCATGGAAATTTATAAAGGGTGTTCTGTGTGGTGAGGATTCAGTGACCATATTAACTTAAGGGCCTGCTTGCCACGTTAGGCTAGGCAACCCATGTTATCTTGCAGTAAAGGGAACAACAGGTTCGGCAAATACACTTCCTGAGAAATTTCGGTTCTCCCCTAGTCATGGCAGGCAACAGTGCTGTCAAATAAACAAAGTTTAATTAAAAAAAAAATTTTTGCACAGAGGAGAAATTTTCTTCCCTGGCTAGTCACAAATTGGAAAGTTCAAAGACCAAACTTTGGGGGTGGGAATTGCCAATGGAAGACTTTTTCTGTTTTCTCTGTACTGGTATGCTTTCCTTCTTGGCGTCAAATCTCACGTTGAATTCAGCCAATAACCTGCAGCAAACAAAAAAGTGCATAAACATCTCTTCTGTTCCTGCTGTTTATATTTTTATCACTAAACAAAGTGAGTCTCCCTTCCCCACATCTCCCTCTGGGAACACGTAAGGCTGACTTGATTTGAATATTGTAAAGATTCTGTTGTTGCTTGGAGAGCCTAACGATTGAGTTTGTTTTTTAAAAGTGTGTTACAAAGCTTTAGTTGTTGTTGCTGATGGTACACTTGGAACACAATTTTCTGAAGACACGTGAGGTGCCGAAGATTCGGAAGCATTTGTCATTAGGTAAAATATGTCAAGTATCTCAGGGTGTGGTGTTTGGATTATGTGGAATGTCAATTCTTCCTTTTTTTTCTCCTTTTCTAGTTTAGTCACTTCAGAAATGTTTCCCACAGATCCTTTGATGACTGCACGTGTAGAAGTTCAGTATAACAAGTAGTTGCTCTGATTAACACCTTGAAATGTAAGAGGTGCTAAGGAGAACATCACCGAGGGAACAACAGGGCCCCCGGGAGGCCTGTCAGCTCTGTTCCATGCCATTTCCAGCCCCCTCAGTCCCACCGCCCTACATTCTGGTACATTCTCATGTGGCCTCAGTGCCAGGGGCCAGAGGAGCTGAGCAGTAACCTAGCTTCCCAATTTTCCTCTCTGAGCCTACTTATTTCCTTTGAGACATGAAAGGCATTTTATGGTGGTCAGGAAATGCCTGTTCTCTACTCCCTGCCTCAGCATCCTTTATTTTTTTTTTGGGGTGGGGGGTGAGAGCTGCCCATGTAAAAAGGTAGCTCTAAAACTGTTCTGGAAAATGATCTCTCTTCCTCCACAAAAGAGCATTGTGGGTTCAAGTGTGTTCCAGGTACACGGAGCCTCCCCTATGCATGCTTAGCAGCAAATGATCATACAGGGAGTGGACAAAGGGGGAATGCAATGGAGCACCCCTTGTTGCCCAAGTGACTTCATGTATATAATTTTGACTCCGCATTCCTCCTCCTAAAAAATCAAAAGGGGAAGTTACCTTAGGTTTTGCTGCTGTAGCTGTCCTTTAGATTTCTGGGCAGGGGGGGCGGGGGTGCAGCTTCGTCTTCTGAGGCAGGCACGGTGGGATTGCCAAGCCAGACGAGAAAGCTCTCGCTCCAGATCCAGTCACGTTTTTCCGGGTCATCTGCCCTCCTTCCCTGTGACAGCGAAGCTGTGATTTTTCTCTGGCCTCGCAGGGCCAAGTGATTCCGGAGAAGCCGACGATTGTGTGGACTATCTCATCCTTGTTGCTCTAGCGCAGCCCTTTCAGCTTTCCAGAGCCAGTCAGACTTGTTATGAGGAGCTAAATGATTGGCTGGATCTGGGGCTCCGTTTCATAAATTATAGCCCCGTGTACAAGAAGCACGAGTCCTATAGTCGCCGTAGCCCAGAGGCCTGCCAGTTCCTGCGTTAACGCATATGTAGTCCTAACTGAGTTCTCACACGGCCTTGGATGTGTCTGTCCTAAATAGCTGGCATTGCATCTTCAAGACTGTGTGAGTAATCCTGACTCTCTCTCTCTCTCTCTCTCTCTTTTTTTTTAAAACACCTCAGTAAATTAATTACATGCCTTGAGAGGGAGAGTGATTGCAATTAGAAAATACTGACTTAACAGATGATTCATTTTCAAGGTGCTGTGCTCTATGTATCAAGTTCAGGGCAACGACTCTTGAAGCTTGGAAGGCCCGGCAGGGTTATTGGAGCTTGGTGCCACGGGGTCACGGGCAAGCTGCTGTTTCTGGGAGGCTGTTGAGTGCATTTGCCAGCCCTGTTGGCTTTATGGGGTCAGTGAGGTGATAAAGGTCCAACAGGAGCAGGTTAAGACAGGCTCCTGGTGTCAAAGCCCCGGCTGAGAGGAAACTGCTGGAGTCCTGCAAGTTGCAAGGTTTCCCCACCCCCACTTTGTCCAAAACCATGAGGGAGCAGCCCCTTGGAGACCCAGGCACACAGCAGTCCGAGCGCAGAGGAGGGAGCAGTGTACCATTGTGGCTGTGCGAGCTTGCTTCACTGTCCTCTGAAGCTGATTTAAGACTAATCTGTGGGTAACTAGAACATTTTTTACATGGACAGAAAAGCTCCTCAGTGGTGCTGTTTCTGTGGTGGAGAGGGGAATGAGAAATCACTGGCTTGTTTTTAAAAGCCTTAACACAAGTACATTAAATACACACAGACATAACCATAACAGAAGAAAGTATGTGGATTGGAATTTGTGGTTGAAGCAGATCAAATTATCCCAGGGAAGCCTTTGTTAGGTTTGTATAATTGCAGGGGTGGGGGGTGGATGGGAGGTGGGGGATGGGTGGGGGGTAGCAGGGTGAGGGGGGCAAGGGTGACTCTTGCTGACAAGGTTTAAGGTAAACCTGGAATGAATTGAAATGAGAAACTAGAAAACATCAGCACTGTGTTACTTTTCATAGCACGCTTTGTAGTTAATACTGAGTTAATACTCGGTAGTTAACCCGGAGTTAGTGCTGAATATAGACTGGTTGGTATAGGCAGTTTACTTTTTACTTTGAAATCATTACTGATTTTCCCAGCCTTTCCTTAAAAAGGGTTTTTGCCTATGAAGTTAGTACTTCGACATAATTTTTCTTCCTTTCCAATAGTTTTTATACTTTTTCTCAATATAGCGCAAAACTCGGTAATTGATCATTTGGGGTTTGTTTTCTAGTTTGTTTTTTTGACTAATTTTTCCCTCTTTAGACTTACAGATACAAATGTGGATATTTGTCATATGTATAAACCTCAAATTTGAATACTTTTTAAAAATCATGGATTCTTGTGGCAAAAAAACCCTTAAAATTGCTGTAGTAATAACTTGCCAATTCCTATAAAATATTATTTGTATGCTCAAGAGCAATTTATTTTTGGTTGTAGCTATTTAAATGACTGACATGGGTTAGCTGGTAAGGGAGGAATATTAGTTGTGTTTTTTGCAAAAATAATATGTTTAGACCATACTGGAGACACAGAATTTTGTTAAAAATATTTTCACCTGCTGCAATTTAAGCTCTGAGGTCACACCAGTGGGTAAGGCTCGTAGAAGGAAAGAAAAATTATCAACCTAGTTTCCTTTTTTGTATCAACCAAATGTATGTATGTAAAACAGTTTTAAGTAAAAGTAGTTCTAATATATTCTTTGAGAAAGACATTTACATTATGAAGACACAGTATGAGTTTCTTTATTGAGTTCGAATAGCGAGTTCATTTATTGAGTTTCCACAGCCATAGACACTAATACTAATAGTTGATTCGCTCGTTGTTCTAAATTCCTAGCCGACTGTATTAGTAGAAGAAAGTGATGCATCTATTAAAAGAATGTAATCTCATCCCTCAGGGTGGTTTGGGTCCCATCCAGACTACAAAGTGGTGGAGGTGGAAGCTGGTTTGTCTGACCTTCCAAACTGACGCCCCTTCTTGTGGTAGGGTCCCTCCCATCTTTCCTTGCCTTCATTCTTTATATTAACCTGCTCAGGCTCTCAAGATGAATCAGATAAAAATGATGGATGCTTAGTTATCCAACTTGAATAAGCTACCCTTGCAGTTCAGAAGGTATTTAGAGCTCTTGTTGAGGGCTCAGAGAACTAGTGCTGTGTGTCTACTAGGAGAATTGACATCTTGCGTTGGTACTTTCTGGAGGACTTCTCATCTCTTCGGCTCTTCCGGAGATGCCAGGCTCCCATCTCCCTCTTGGGAGAGGGTCAGATATTAAGAAAAGTGAGAGTAGAGGGTTGCCAGGTGCCCAGTGGACACAGGGCTGTGAACAAGGCGTTGAGAAAAAAGGACATATCCCTGGTACAACAGTAGCCTATCCTTGTCTTCACTCCTCTTAATTTTCTAAAGCCATTTTTGTCTGACCGTGGAAGTTCTTTTACAGATAAGGCTCTGTGAAACTTTGCATATCTGCCATAGACAGATGGATTTGACAAAAGATGTATCCAAAAAGGAATGCATTACGTTATGATTTGCAAAGTGTTCATGAATAAACACTGGCGCTTGGAAACTATTAACACTACCTACTAAAGCAATGACATAAATCCAAATTGAAACAAAATTTCTTGATTGAATTACATCCTCCAGTATCACGTTTGGTGAATTTTTGCTTTTGGAACAACTTAAAATTCTCGAAGACATTTTTTCCCCCAGTTGGTATATATATAGGACTAATCTTATTGCTTAATTTTGCCCAAGAATTTAATGATTCCTCATTGGCATTTTCTGAAGGGTTGCAGTGCCACTTTGATTATATTTTAAAGGAAGCAGAGCAAAACAAATACACCGCCCCCCCCCCAGCCCCCCTTGCATCAGACACACCACAAACAGTTAAATGCCTTAGATTTGCACAACACTCGTGGAGCTCAACACTACCCATTGGTAGAGGAGGAGCCTTCCTTTAAAAGCAGTTATTTCCACTGATACAATGTGTGCAGGTGATGTAATTTCCCATTGCATGGGTCACTAGCAAGAGGGTGTCCCCCAAATTTCAAGAGAGGTCGAATGGCTTTGGTGAGATAATCTTGCAGTCGGTGAGCTCATGCTCAGGTCATTAAATTTTTCTAAGCCTCCATCTCTGTCTGTAAAATGAAAACGATGACGTACGTCCTGGTGTTTTACAGTAGTGGTGAGTATCAGCAGCACGATGAAGAAGTGTTTGTGGAAGAATGTTTTAGTTCTTCGTGTATTATCCTGTGTCGTGCAGCCCCCCACTAATAGCATTACGGATGCTCATGGCACTAGTTCTTTTACTTCTTTGAGCGTATTCCCAATGCTGGAGAAATACTTTTTAAAGCTGGGAAAGTCTTCGCTGTTTAACCTTGAAATGTTACAAAGGCTGTGGGAGCCTCAGTCCTTATCTGTCAGCTGAGTCTTAAAAATACCAGAAGGGTTGCGGTGACAGGCAGATGTGGCATTGGATGCGAGATCATCTTCAGTAAACTTCTAAGCGACATAAGAATGTTGCTTAAGATACCGATTGTTGTCAGCGTATTAATAAAAGTGTACATTACCAATTTTTTAAAAAAGGAAAACATCAGACAGATTTTCTTACTGATTTGTTTGATGACTTTTCTCTAAGCTGTGTCTGCTTGCCTCAGCCAGGATGGGTTTTCTCGTTGCTTGAGCTTGCGTGCTGATTTTCCTTCCACTAGATACAGCACTAAGCCAGGAGAGAGAAGCAAGCCTTCCCGTTGTACACTTAGAATTGCTAATGATGAAGTTCTAGGGGATGTAGTTTCCTCATAGGAAAAAGTGAGTTAGGAAATTCAGACTGACAGATAGTCTGGGACTTTTTATTCCTGCCTTGACTCGCTTTATTAAATTGAAGTAATGGAATGATCGTGTAGGTCTTAAAGTGTTGCTTATCCTGGTAATAAAATGAATGGTCAGAATGACTTTCTGAATGATTCTGAACGGTCAGATGGTAGTTTGAAACCAGATTTTTTTTTAAAACAGTTCTACCTTGGAAGATGATCTTGCTTTTTGGGGTGTTGGCCACAGCTGTGTCCTGCATGTCAGCTGTGTGAGCTCCCTGTTGAGGTGTGTTTGATTATTTCCTAGCTCTTAATATCACGAAGCCTGAAGCACCTCTATTACCTGTAAAACATTTTGTTGCTTTCGAGGAGATTGAGCAGAGAGCACAGTAAGTGAAACAAGTAGGAATGGAAGTGGGTCTTCTCCCACCCTTATCCCATGCTCCCTGCCCAGCATTCCACGAGAGAACTTCCTAGAAACGAAAGAATTTCATTGGTAGTGTACTTTGCAAACTGTTAGCTGGGATCATTGTCTTGACTTTCCTGTGCTTTTGGTGACTGATAAGCATACGCTTTAATAATGTAAGTAATAATGAAAGAATGTTTTTTGACTTCTTTTATCCCCTCCCCGGCTTTGTTGGAATATAAGTGACATGTGATACTGTACAACATGTTTATCTGATACACTTATGGGTGGCAAAATGATTGCTGCCCTTGTATTAGCTAACATTTACATCATGTGACTTTTTTTGTGGTTGAGAATAGTTAAGATTTATGCTCTTAGCAAATTTCAAGAATGTAATACAGTATCATTAACTATGATTGCTATGGTCTACTTTAGATCCCTGTAACTTATTCATGTTACAATTGGAAGTTTATACTCTTTGACCAATATCTTTCCTTTACCTCCCACCCCTTGGCCCCTGGCAACCAGCATTCTACTGTATTTCTATGAGTTCAGCATTGGTGATTTGCACATGTAAGTGGGATCATACAGTATTTGATTTTTCTGC